CTACACAATTTTACGATACGCAGAATTGTGTAAGAATTTAATGATGTACGGTGGTGTATGATTGCGGATTTGTATTCAAAATAAATAAAAATTATGAGAATTTTATCTCTTCGTCAATGCTGACCTACTTGCGACAACTAAGAAATTCCTAATTTTTTCTATTGATCCAATGTTCGGTACAAAGGATTCCATGTTTCGGGGCCTGCGGGTTCAACGAACCACCCCCTCGGAAATTGAGGGGTTGCATCTCGGGCCCCACCGTGAGAAAAGCATCCTCTTCGAAACTAAAAGGTCAAGATCAAGGTCTCGGAGCGGAAACGGAAGAAAACCGAGGAGAGTAGACACCGACCGAACATATTACTGTGTACATATAATACGCTGTATCGGTCGGAGTTGCCCGATGGGAAATTAATCTTCGGGTCCGCGATTCAGCGGCGCGAGATGGAATGCGTTCGAGGGAGTAACGGGTACAAAATATCCTGTGTACACGAATCGCAGGGCCCACCACTCCTCGCTGCACCAGGGACGACGTAACCCGTCGAATACCATGGGCGGGATCCGCCATTGTTCTTCCAAACTCTGGCATTTATCCCCCGGTTTCGTAGAGAGAACTCGAAAATTGTTGCAACATCGAAATCGGTTCTTCGAACGATCAAGAAGAACCAATTACAGTAATGTCTCTCTAATTGACGCTCAGATTGAGAACAAAAATGGACAATTTGGGAAGAGGAGACACTATTGTTCGAGTCTTGCAGCTCGTTTTTATAGTTTCGAATTGTCGACAACTATAAGAACGAGCTGCAGGGCTCGAATAATCGCATCTCCTCTTTTCAAATTGTCCATTTTTATGCACAATCTGTGCATCAATTAGGGAGACATTACTGTACTCTGATCGATTCATACGATAACCAAGATCTGTGTTTGTTGTATTCGGATCGAGCTTTTCGTAATTAATACCAGCAATTATTGCAGTCGGAGATCATTGTTTAATTATATTCCGACAGACTCAACATCCTAAGTAGAACCTTTTGAATACGAATGTCAAAGATAAAAATTGTCTGCATTAATTGCAAGACTTTCTTTTCTAATCATTCTGACGAGTTGAACACAACAGAGTAATATTTTTTTGATTCTTTAGACGCTTTTGATATTTTGCATCGGAGCTACGCATTTTTGGTAGAAATGCGTGAAATTCGCAGTCTAATTATTAATTCCTTCCGAATCGGAGGAAGCTGTAATTGATTTGATTTTTATAGCTACAAATTTCCTTCTCATGCTAGAAAATGATTAAGGATAAAAAATGTCGTAATTGCTGCGGCTGCGAGAAAATCATAGATCAGTTTGAAGATCTTTGCTCCAATTTCAAAGAAACTTTGCATCAGAGTACTATAAGGTGCTGATAAAATTATTTAATCGGAAGTTCAACGGCGTTTAAACAAATTACTCTGAAACAACAGCCATCGAGCGTGAAATAAGACGTTATCAGATTCCCGATAACGCGATGGTGGTAATGGTTTTATTGCGTCGCGCGATGAATGCACAGAGCGTCATTGTCGAGTACATAATGCTCGGTACACCTACACAGAAGAGATCTTGGTAGTCAAACGGAACACGTGTTCGATTGAACTCTTTCTCATTGTCCGCTCGTGTTCGATTCGCTTTCAATGCTGCATACACGTGCCTCGGCTCCTCCAATGTAAATAAACAGACGGAGAATGAAATTATCCACTATTCACGCGATCGAAAGGATTATCGCGAATCATTGGGTCGCATTGTGCGTTTAATCGGTGAGCCGGACGCACCTGTGCTTTCGATCGGAACAGTTGGCGATTAAAACAAGGTGACTGTGGCAAACACAAGCCAATTGAAAAAATATGAAAGACAATCGTAAAAGATTAGGGTTTAGATTTCGGAAGATTTCGTGCGTACTCGAAAATCGACAATTTTGGAAGCGAAGATACGATTATACGAGCCTCGCAGCTCGTTTTTTATAACTGTCGACAATTCGTAACTATACAAATGAACGGCGAGGATCGAATAATCGTATCTTCTCTTCCGAAATTGTCCACAAAAATAGGTAATTTGGGAAGAGGAGATACGATTAATTTGAGTCTTGTGCCCCGTTTTTTATAGTTACGAATTGTCAACAATTATAAAAACGAGCTGCAAGGCTCGAATAATCATATCTCTTCTTCCCAAATTGTCCAATTTCGTGCACAATCTGAGCGTCAATTAGAGAGACATTACTGTACCGGCCGCAATTGTTCGATGCTTCGCGTCGGTCTTCGTCTATTTATGTTAAAACTAAAGATGAGATAAAGTAGGCATAAATCTAGCTCTAGGTACATAGTTCCAAATGTTTCGTGAGTACTTCGAGACGATATTGTGATATATTCCCTGTGTACATCAGAATTGAACATACTTTATTAGCCCTTTGCACTCGAGTGGTGACCCTGAATTGTTATATCACGTTCTAAGATCATTTTTATATCACCGAAGCTTAAATTTTAGACATTATTAAAAGTGTAACCGTTGTATGAATCACGAGACTCAATTTCGTATGCATAAAATGCATTTTGTCCTGCAAAATGAAAATACTGTAAGTCGGAAAAATTATTTTCGATTTACAGTTAAAATGGCTTCGAGTGCAAAAAGGGTTAGAAATAAGACAAGACATAATACAGAGATGTCTCTCTAATTGACGCTCAGATCGGACACAAAAATGGACAATTTAGGAAGAGGAGAGACGATTATACGATCCTTGCGGTTCACTTTTATAGTTACGAATTGTCACCAACTGTAAGAACGAGCTGCAAGGCTCGAATAATCGTATCTCCTCTCCTCAAATTGTCCATTTTTGTGCATCAATTGAGCGTCAATTAGGGAGACTTTACTGTATATAATTCTTTTCCCGCTGTGGGACCCACTGTGGGGCGCGTGTGCGCCAAACACAACAAAGAGACCGAAGTTATGGGAATGACGTAAGGGAGCTGGCTAATCTTGTACGTGACCCCATTATTTATGCCAACTATGAACCATTTGCCTGAAACCGTGTCTGCTCGACGCACGGCTGGAATTCTGCGATCCATTTCGACCGCGTTCATCCGCTTATCGCTTATTCCGATGAACTATTACGCGCGTGCCTTGAATTTATTGCACTCGCTGATAACGTTGATCTTGTTAGACCGTGTCTCTCTTGACCCAGTATCTTTACAATCCCATTATAAACACCGCGACGCTACGCGTCCTCGACACATTTGCGTTGATTATTCACTCGGCGAGATCGTTGAACGAGATAAGGTAAATTTGTTTTTAACTAAATTAATATCCCGTGCAAATGGGAAACGAATCTACGCCGATCGCTTCGAATTTATTATTCGAACGGAGAACGAACTGTTCTGGAATTTTGTCAAATTAATTTCACCGAAAAATCATTTTCGTCGAATTGATTTCTTGCAAATTAATTTAAACTTCCCGACCATGCATTCCTCTGATAGAATCGTTGTCAATGGTTCGACTTTTCATTTTCTCGATAGGGAAATTTTCTCGATCGTAGAAGTGATAACATCAAAGAATTATTAATGTTTGCGTTTCCGTGTATAGCTGAACCGGAAGTCGCCAGACACCTGCGACCGCACGGTGTCAAAGTGTTTGAACCAATAGATCGCTGTTGAAACTCGAACGGGTAGACAGACGGTAGTATTTTTAGTGTTCGGTGTAAACATGATTAAATAGATAATAGCTTGTGGCCCTGCGACGCCAGGTATACGGTGTCTACTCAACTGGCCAATCGTTCTCTAAACAACAGTTACTCTTTTATTCGAATACATCTCGGGTCCAGTCAGTTACAAAAAAGTCTACGTATTAAATTAAATTATAAAAATGCACATCTAAATAAAAGCTATGAATATCAATTGAATTGTTTTAGAACCGTGAAGCTAGAAATTAAATTTTGCAAATAGCAGATCGTGCGATAATCTTATTTTATTCTAGCAGGGATTGGAAAACCGTTAAGACGCGTCACATCTTGAAAGGTGTTTCAAAAACGGTTGGCGCGTAACGTATTTATCGATCGTATTTCAAAGAACCGAGACTGTTGTCTTGCTGTTGCTATTTCGACGATGACATCGTAAATCGTTTATTAGTCGATAACATACGCGTATAATAATAATTTCGAAACGTTCTAATCAAATCCCGCGATAAATCAGCTACGTTACAACAAACTGAAGTCTCGTAAACGTAGAAAGAAAATAGATTAAATATCTCGACGATGCGGTCACGTGACCCTTCCAACGATCATCTTTTAAAATGTCGATGTGCGAGCCGTTATCGAGTAAACCGAACAATCGATACTGTTCTTCGATCATTTTAATGGACTAATAAACCACGTTGGTTAATTTTTTCTTCGAGAACCGATAAGAAATAGTTAAACGCTATTTCCAGGAATAGTACGTAATTTCAAAATTTAGCGACGTCCACATTGGTCTGTCACCCGTGGATATTCTTATTCCTGCGATCATGTTGGAGCGAAGAACAATAGAAAAAGACTCTCACTTTAAAAAAAAATTCGTTTGTCTCGATGAAAGAATATCGCGATTTAAATAACAATAAATAAGTAAGAACTGTCTCAGCTTAACCCTATCTTCGCTGGTTGTCCGGCCGATCTCTCATCGATTCCTAACCATGAGAATGACAAAGATGCGTCCAGAGAAAACAATCGAATACATTTCCTTATTAGAATCGGTATCGGATAAAAGTATCGCACGGAGAGAATACCTTGTAATACTGTGATATTTGTAAAGGGGAGACGTATCGGACAGTATCGGTGGTGGTTCCCGTGTCGAATTCGGCGATTTCGCTCGGCGACAAAAGACAGCTCTCTCGCGGGACAACGAAAGGGTTAGGAGAGGAGACCGGCAGAAACGCGAGGGAAAGGAAAAGGGCCCGCGGAGATCCGTCCCTGGCCTCGGTAAGCGAAACCGGGCGGGCTGCTAACTCACCTCGTGCCACATTCCGCTGGCTCTGCCGACGTTTTCGACGACGGGAATATGCACCGCGTGCAGGATGCGAGGCACCACCGTTTTACACTCAGAACCACACACCCGCGGACACCGGTCCCGCTCTTTTCGAAAATTCAAACGCGCACACGTGAGAGGCCTGTGTGTTCGCCGGACCGCGACGCGATTCGTCCGCGCCGTTCCACCCGCGCGCACACTTTCCGCGAGGCTCCTCTCTCGGAGAACCGCGCACAGGAACCGCGGACCGTTTCGTGTTAACGATAGAACCGACGGTCCAGCAGCGGGGAAAAAAGGAACCGGCGTCTCGTAGATCACAGGAGAGAGAACACACGTCAGAGACCACCGTGTCGTGCGACCGATCAACACATACTGAACCGCCGCGCCAACCGACTGATCGCACCACCGCGCCGGCTGGCCGATCATGCGTGGTGGGGATGCGCAGATCCTCGTTTCGGTTCGATTCACTGCGGAAATTTGAATTTGAATCTCTATGACGGAATTCGCCGCTATTTCACGCGATCAATTATCATAGATCGTAACTGAAACAGCCGATTGTCGGGCATAATCGAGAGGTCTGTTCATTGTAGAAACTATGTTAATTTATAACATCGAGTTAGACTTGTTTTGTATATAGATCTTTTGTGAAAGAGATCGTAGGGCAAGTGAGTGTTTAATTGTAAGTGTTGAAGATGTGCTAAGAACTTAAGAATATTGAAAACTGTCGCAACCGAAGAAAGTTTTTGTACTTTGCTCGACTGTAATATAAATTGTAAAAATTAATGATATATCTAAGAGAATATAATTTTTATCCATTCGAAAGTTGACAGAATTCGAGATGCTTTTATGAAAAACTATAAATGAAAGCTTTACTATATACTGGTAACTATACGTACAAGGGTGAATAAAAACATCGGCTCAATTCGAAATGTATATTTTACATAGGTTCCAGTCTATTTTGTCTCTAAACATATGTTTAATATACGCATATCATCCGCTCACAACGTGTATCGCTAAGGTAAACAAATCAATACCTTAGGCGTTATCTGGTAGTTAAAATCCGTAAATATGAATCAACCATAATTTTTATTTTGTAATATAATCGCCTTTACAGAATACCTTGTTTAGTGAAGTATACTGAATACACATAAAAGTTTATTGAAATGCGCATGGATATTCATGTAATCGTACATCAATCAAAAATAGCGAAATTATAACTGTCCCTTTTTTTTTTCTTCCATCGTCATCGATAAAGATAATTTACAACATTCATCGTTTCCATCTGCTACCTGTTTTCTTTGCTTCAAGTATGTCCTTAGAAACTAATCGACGATTACAATGTCCAACTTAAACACATTTACATGTGACATTATCTTCGTTAAATCGTTCTTTCGTTTTCGCGCGATTCTATATATAAACAACATACACCATAGAGTTCTCGATCATCACGCTACAAATCTCTAAATTTGTATTCTTGTAAGACATGTAGTGCATAGTTACCGTTCCTTCTTCTTATTCTTTCGTTATGCTTACGATAGAAACAAAAGGGAATAAAACAAGGATGAAACAATGTGCGTCGGCATAAAAATCTAACAAAAACGAATTAATCATTCTCTCGCCTGCCCTTACGTATAAAACTTACATGGAAAATGCTAACGTATCGTCGAATATATATTTCCCATCTTTTAAGATGAACCAAATAATAGAACAACGAGATCCACGTTAGCTGCAAAACTCTGGAATTTGTAGTCTCGACGGTTCGTTTATGTCTAACCACCAAATGTTGCTTAACGATCGATAATTATACCCCGTAACCCCGGTTCTCTGTCGCGAAACATATTAACGCTCCATGCAATACATTCACTAATATGATTACGTACATTTAAAAGCAAACAAATAATATCCTTCGTGGAAAATTCGGAAATTCGACCTGATCAAGCCAGAAGCGTTTGGTATTTACTTAGTCGTAAACGGTGAACTATTTTCCATGCAGGTTCCATTGTTTCTAAGAAACACCATAAATGTACAACAACAAAGAAGATGGAGCAACGCGTCCCCTCGTTCCCCTCCCTCCCCTGTATTTATGATCTAATAATTATAATTCTCTTGAATGCGTGGATAAGCAAATTTACACCGACGAAATACATTAACAGAGCTATCTAGTACTTAGAGCACATCGAGGAAAACGTACAAGAAACAAAGAATAAAACTAGGAAATTTTCGTAATCGTGAAATATACGTGAACAAGTTAAACATTTACATACCAGTAATTATTTTTTGCAGCTTTTTTTTTGTTTGTTTCTTTATCGAGTTACAGTAATGTACCAAATCCAAAATAAAAATGCATATTTGTGTGAGTCAGTAGCGTGTATTCTGTCAAGAGTTGGAGTAGAAGTTTATAATTTTCTGTCAGCCAATTACCTCATATATCTCTCTCACCACGCCTGTTGTAAGAGGTAAACAAGGAGAAAATTAAAAATAGTCATAACAGTAACATAATAACGTAAAATAGAATAACAGTATTACATATTGGTGTTAGCTCATGGACACTTGGACACTTGCCCACTAGATAATAGCCGTTCAACAGCAGCGTTTATGTCTCCGAATGTGGCAATTAATGCTGAAAACATTGTTTTTTTTTAGTATTTTGCTATACTGCGTGACACCATAAATTTCAATTGAATGTAGATTCTTAGTTAAAACAATGTATTAAGTGCATGCCAGTATTAAAAACGAAACAAGTAATCGTGAAGGCCGCACATCCATTTTACCTTGTAAATTAGCGTCTCTATTAACAAATCCCATAGCCGTAAGCTGTTCTAACTGTGCTCTATAACGTTCTTCCGGTGGAGGCACAGGTTGACCCTCCACTTCTACGCCTTGATTTAATGCCATTGCAGATACCTGAAGTAAACAATATTACAAAGAATTCATGCATCTTGTGAATCAGAGTTGGACAATGTTTAGTACAGTTAATGATTAAAATACGTAATTATACTATCCAACATCAGTATTTAGTCTATGGTTCAAGATAAAATTCCTCCAAAATTTAACTCCAAGTTTGATTCCTCTGTTTAAATCGAATCTCTCAAAAAATGAAGATAATGGAGAGTTACGATTTGTTGTAACAGTGTTATCAACTATATTTAGATAAACATTCGACAATCAAATTAAAAATGTTAATCAATTAAAGCCCAACTCTGTTATTTAAATAAGAACACGGATAAAATGTTTACCATGCGCGCCATGAACTGAGAGAATGCGTCTTGCTGGTTCGTGTCCGATGCTTGTGTAGTTGGTGGTGTTGGATTTGTTGTGCCAGCGTTTGGTGTCGTTGTTGCCGCGGGCGGCACGGTCATACCCATACTAAAAGTATGTTTGCAAGTAACTAGTGATAAACAATTTCCATCCTAACATGGATATGCAATGTTATAGAATAAAGCTATTGGCAAGAACTTACGTTTCAACAAATTCTGGAACAACGGTGCGCAACTGTTCCAATCCTTGGTGAATTTGCATAACAGCGGCCAGAGCACCTGGATTCGTAAAAATATTTTGAATTTGAGGGTTTTGCATTTGCTGAATAAATGCCGGCATCATAGCTCTCATTTGCTCTTGCATTTGAGGATTTCCTCTAAAGAAGGGATTTGCAGAAATCACTCTGCTGGCCATAGCAGGGTCTGCAGCCATTGCTTCGAGCATAGACCTCGTATAAGGAGCGTTTAACATGGTTTGCATCAGCTGTGGGTTCTCCATCATTTGTGTTATGAGGCTTTGCATTCCTGGCGAGTCCAGCAGGCCTCTTCCAGCTTGCGGTGGATCAGGAGTGGTGTTCTGAGGAGTCTGATTCTGATTCCAAGGGTTCGGTAAGGGGTCTCTGTTTTCCTGACCCTGCTGTGGATTATTCTGATTATCTTCGCTACTGTTATCCTCCACTAATGCTGCAAAAGGATTACGTACATCGGCTGTTGCTGCCAATATGGGCTCTTGAATATCGCGATATAAGCGACGAAGCGCGCTGTGGCCGCCAGGAATGCTTTCTAGATTATTTAGAGCTCTGTCATGCGAGCGCATTAATTCTTGTAACATGGATGGATTGCGTGCCAATTCCATCGTTTGCCTAAAAAGGTTTCAATGCAAACATATTCGTCATATTCAATAGTGCCGTGTAGAAAACTATATTAACTTCACAGGGTGTTCCAAAAAAGGTGTAGAGCCTAGAAATGAGTGATTTCTGAGGTGATTCGAAATAAATTTTTCCTTAGTGTAATCTGCTGTCGCGCCAAAGTTCATCCGCTGTATCCGCTCCATTTTCTGGTGTTTTTCATTAATAATTTTCTAACAAAGTCGCAACCAACATTTTCGCTAAGAAGAAACTTCCTTCGAGTCACCCCAGAAATCAGTCCTTTCCAGATCCTACACCTTTTCTGTAACACCCTGTATATCTACCTTAACAGTTCCGGATTATTTAGCACATGACTAATTTCTGGATTGCGTTCCATCAGTTCCTGTATTTGAGGATTAGCTGATATCAGATTGCGCATATTCTCTGGATCATTCATTAAATTTTGCACCAATGGGTTATCAAGTATAATGCGCATGGTCTCCGGATTTGACAATAGCTCGCGTTGCATGCTTTGCTGCAAATCTATGAAATTAGCGGATCCCAATCCAAGCGACTCCAATCCCACTAGTCCTCCTAAGCTGCCCAATCCGAAAGGACTGGCGCTTATGTCAGCTGCATAGAAAATATAGTGTCATTAACAATTTCTTAGTTACGAGCAATAAGGCAAAATTCATACGACTCGTATCCATACGTGGATTTCTCTGTGTCGGTGTCGAGTCTTGACTCTGATTAGAAGGAGTACGTCCTGCTTTAATAACCAGGTGAACCGTCAAGCCATCTTTGACATTATGCGTGCTTAAACTTTCATGGTCTTTCATAATCTTCCCGGCGAAGATCAGACATAACTGTTCCGTCTGGGCATTGAACTTCTTCGATACCGCCTCTCTGAACTGGAAACGTCGAGAAAAACAGTTAATGAAGTTAACCCAACAATGACAAACGTGACGATTCGGCGGCACGTTTCGCCGATAGGGAAACGCGATGGTATATTATATGGGAACTCACGTCTTTGATACTAGCACCCTCCTCGATCTCAATGGTCTGTTTTTCTTTTGGAGTTTTGACGTTAACCGTAATTTTCTTTCGAGTGTCCTGGCCTTCTGCCATCTTGGATCGGTAGATGACTCGTTACTTTCGACCAGCGTTGCCAGAAACAGGGACGCAAATCGGGACGCGTGACGTCATAAAATATCCCGTTCTGTCCCTGTGACTTCTGCGCCCCAAGTGACAGTTAATGGTACTAAAAACTACGTGGTTTTACATGTGCCAAAACGACATCAACGCTGTAAGGTGGCAACCGTAAGAACTAATTTATCCCCCTTCTATTACCTAGCCACTAAAGCTACAATACACGTGACGTCACCGATGTCCCTTTTGTCCCCGTTACTGGCAACGTTGCTTCCGACGCTTTCGATTCTCCCTCGTTGAGGGGCCAATTGCGCACCACTTTTCCACGAATATTATTACCTTTTTCCTCACGTCACGAAAATTTTGTTTACTAGCTCGATTCCAAAAAACGCTGAATTTTGTTCACGGGTTATACAAAGGAATCACAAAGACCACGTAGAGAGATCAACTTGAGCGGCTACGCCACGCCGTGCCATAATACACGAGACGAAGAAAGTACACGATATGTCAACGAGCTTCTGTATAGTTTGTTCTCGTCACGATTTGGAACCCTTCCCTCCACAGGAATGATTACTCTGATTTGCCGAATAGCAATTACTTAAATGGAAAATCACGTAGCGTGATCCACGTATGAGAAATATTTTTAGTCGCAATATACGATAAACCACGAATCGTTTTGTAATAGGTTATGTCGCGTTGCCACTACCGTAACATCAAAACACCAACACTCCTAATGCTACTTACAACGTCATGGGTGAAATATGTCGTATCATTAAGGAATGATGAATTTTCTGGAAAGAATTATGAAACTTCATTCCGAAATTACACCTGGCCTGAGTAATGCGTTGAAAAATATAACTGCGTTGCGGAAAATATATTTGATTTTATTATGAAGTCTTAAAATTCCGAGATACAATAATCAACTTTCCAAAAAATTTGTTACAACTTAAATAGCGCTAAATATTTCTTTTATAACAATGATAACATTTTTTACTTCACGAATCGTTGGAAGAGCGGTCTCTAGATAAATGATTTTCTATTTGGTTTATTAGAAGAATCTTGTACAGTCCTTGTTT